AAAACCAATAACCATTAAGCCATCTAATCTCAGCTGAATACCCCAGAGAATTGGGCACAATTTTTGAATTAATCTTCTGCCGAACCATTCCAGAAATTGGGCACTGATGAAAAAAAAAACAGGAGCTCCATACATTCCCAAGCTTCCATGAATATATCACAGATATTAGACTAATAATTCTTAATTAGTCTGTCTTTAGTAGTCATTTTCCTTGTGCAAAGCAACTAAACAATAAAAGCAAAGCATGGAAAACATACCCAGTTACCTTTCCCCCACACCAATTTGTACCAAAAAACCTTGCCGCTAGGAGGATTGAGAGCCATCATATGTAGCTGACTGCACAGTAGAAGAACCAGAGGCAGTAGCAGTCCATACTGCATCATCTCCAGAATCAGGGGAGGGAAGAAGAAACATGTCATTTTTATCTTATGCTTGGGGGTATTTCAATTACCATGCTGTTTGCCTTGTCCTTTTGCAGGACTAGATTGGTACGATATGAATCTGTATTAGTCTCTAGTCATTACAAGTATACTGAGTTTATTTGGTACATTTTATGGTACTTCTTGGAAGATCAACAGAAAAAATCCATCACTGCAAGTTGAGTTCATCCAAATTCCCTCTACTATTGAATCATTTGCTAGTGCACATCTCCCTGTGATTTTGCTCAACATTCTGTACACTTTTGGCATGGATGGCTTTCTTTTTGGATCAGAACGAATGCCTTCAACTGTAACTCTAAAAAACTCAAGGATCTCATTCTCAAAATTTTGCCTAATGTCATCTGAATCATATGATTTTGATTTCTGAAATAGAAGCTGAAACATCCATTCAACCATTATGCCTTCAAAAGACAGGAGAATAAATCATTTCACTAAATTTCATTCCAGCAATCAACTCTAAAGCCATAGACATCCTTCTTTAAGGAATCCAACTCCCATGCTTCATTATTTACCAGAATTTCCAAATTGAAAGAGTAAAATGCGATTCGGAAACTTTTGCAGTTCAAAAGTTGGATTTTATATTGCTAGTAACTTAAAATTTTATACATTAGAATGAATCAAGGATTACAATTGAAGAATTTTGATATCAATTCTCGTTTATTTTTAACATAAAAATATCAAAATTTCATGTAAACCAACAAATACTATTATAGAACAAACAAAATAAAAATAGTTAGACATATTACGTCCAATAGCTAATCCCGAACAATTAAATCAAATATTCCATTCTAACATCTAAATATTGATTATACCAAACATTGAAAACTGAATAAAGATTTCATTCTGAGTTGTCCACTAAACTCTGGAATAATAAATTCTTTTTCCCGTCATTCTAGATGGAAATGTATTTTAGATGGAAATATCTTTCCACTCTAGGCGTTCTTGCGTACCAAACAAGGTACATTGGAGTTTATTCGGTTGATCTTACAGTACTACGTACTTAAAAATTAACAAAAAAAAAAAAAAAAAAAAGAATTCACCCGCCCGAACATAGCTAAATTCAATCATTTGCTAGTTTACATCTCCCCGTAATTTTATTCTTCATTTTGTGCACTTTTAGCATCAGTGGCCCTCTCCCCAGATTGGACTGCATGCATTCAACTGGAACTCTGACAAACTCAAGTGCTTTGCATAATCTCATCTGAATTGAAGAGTCAACTATTTAACTGAAGAGTCAACTTTTAGCATCAGTGGCCCTCTCCCCATACTTACAGGGTATTAAAATTTTTCCCAGCTAATAGGGAGCCACCGCTACAAAGTACAATGGCCCTAAATTCTCTCCTGCTGCAATGGCAAGTCCACTGCACACAGCGTTTTAATTTTTTTTCTTTTATATAATTTAGTACTTTTTTATTTCTTTTTTCTTTTTTCCCCTATAATCCATTTTTATTATTATTATTAAAATTGAAATGATACTCATATTTATTATTTGGTAGACCACTATTGCAAACATTTAATAAGAATGAAAGTGCTAGATATTAGCCTGTATCATTATTCCGATTTCGAGATACAAACCAAACATTTACATGGTACTTTCTAAAGTTATAGTGTGAATTAGTACTTTAAAGTATATAAATCCAAATCCTACTGTAAGAAAGGATTGACTTGTAGAATAAAGCCACTACAAATTCAACATTGACATAGCATTAGTTTCCTACAATGAAATTTTGGATTGACTTGGATAAGTACATTATTCAAAATTCTCCACCACTAAAAGTATCAACTTAGTTAAACCGTCATCATATAGCACAGTAATTGCACGATTGGAATATTACCATCTACTAGTATAATTTGAGAAACAGAGACTTTTAAAATGATTCAAATCTCATTTTTTTTCCTTTTGATTCTATGTTAATTAGCCCAAAATTCATTGTATTAGTTTATAAATATAGGCATCGACTTATCATGCAATTGTGAAGTTTATAAACGTTTTCTCTAAAATTTAGATATTTTATCCCCGGCTCTATATATCATCTGAAACATATTGCGTGGAATTCAAAAATAGAAGATTAAATATCCATACAATCATATCACCTTTAAAGCTCTTTGGAGAATCAATTATTTTTCTAATGTCCTTTCCAGCAATTAGCTCAAGCAGCAGGAAAAACCAAGTTGTAGACATCCTTCTTAAACGAATTTAAGTCCCATACTTCATTCTCTGCCAAATTCTTCCACTTGAAGAAGTAAGATATGATTCTAAAAATTTAGCAATCTCAAAGTTGGATATTGTGATACCCCAACTTTTAGGATCATCTTTTGTTTAATCTCAAAGAGTAACATTAGTCTCAAAGAGGATATTACGGTTTCTTTAGTTTATTTTTATTTTAAAAACATTATTTTGTTTTAAAGAAGAAACTAAAGTTATTTCTTTGGGTTTGATTTAAAACCTTGTCTTATTTTAAAAGACTAGAAACCCTAAAAGTCTAACCAAAACCCTAGTTTCATTTATAACTGACCGTTTTCTCAAATTTCTTATATTTCAATCGAAACCCTAAATTTAATTAATAGAATTGTAAAAACCCTCACGTTTTTCTAAAAATCCCCTTTATTTGGAATTTATGATTTTATAATAACCCTACTACCCAATCACACCACAATACATGTAAATAAATATAGAAATAAGGGTTTTCGTTGTCCGTTTTCAAATTAGAGCGAATTAGGGTTTTCACGTTTTTTCGTAGTGCGAATATCCGGAACGGTGCGAGGATCAAATTTGGTGCTTAAGAGTGACTTTTAGGTGAGAAATAATATGTGATTAGAAGCAATGATATAAAGTTAGTGAATAGAAAGTAAAAACCCTAGTACGGGTGATTTATGGAAAAACGGTGCGAACCGACGTGTACCGTGTACTACCGATTGACCGCACCACTTGACCACCACTTTCTTACCACATGAGCTCATTAATACTTGAGCAAAATATCTCCTTATTTCCAGCTAGTTTTGACCGAAATTTAGGGCTAAAAATGCAAGAAAGAAAAAGAAAATTTTGGTTGGTATTAGTGGTGACAAGTGTCACTCAACCATGGCTCCTTGACCAAGACAAATTCCAACCTTCTTATCAACTTGTTGGCTTCATTTTCACTCCATTTTTCTGCTGGCTGGCTGAGACAAGAGAGGGGAAAAGAGAGAGCAAGAGTTTCACCATTTCATCTTGATTTGCACCATCCAAGTGAGGAACCAAAATTCTAAACCGATTAAAGTGTGAGTTGTGAGCTTGAGAAGCTAGGGGAACCAAGAATTCCAAGAGGAGGTGAAGTATTACTCTTGCAAGCTTCATTTGTTGAGGTATAAGGCTAAATTATGGCTTTGGTCCTTTTATTTTGGTTTAAGTTGTTGTATAATTCATGATGTGGTTGGATTAGTAGTGATACAAGTTGTTATGATGATTTAAAGGTGATATATGTGAGTTAGGGTTTGAGGTATTTCCTGCCTATACTTGCTATATGAATGAGATATGTTGTATCTAAGCTTATATAAGTGGTTGTAGTGATGATTGGAGCAAGAAATCAAGAAAGTTTCATTGAATCCCAAAAATTCCAGATTTCTGGAAAAATTTCACCCTGTTCTGTCTGGTTCCAATTCGTATGGTTAGAGGCCGAATTAGGCTTAGCACAAAACATAAAAGTTGTAGAGAATGATGTTTTATAGTTGCCTACAAAATTTCAGCTCAATTGGAGCAACGTAGCCTATGAAAAGACTAAAATACCCTCACTGCCCTAGGTTGCCTTCCATTGTTCCCTTTAGACAGTTTAGTCTTTTGGCCGTATCTATTCACTATAATTCGTGTAGATTTAGCCATTTGCTAAAACATGAAAGTTTCCGTACTCTGTCTTAGCTTTTTAACACCACCAAGAACACCTCAAACGGATCTATGTAGCCTGAGTTATGGCCAAAATAGTCACATCTATTCTAAACTCGGCATTCTGCCGTGTTTCTTGTTTTAGCCTCTGACCATGTTCTGTCCGTTTTGATAACATATGAACTGGGTGGTAACCTCTTCATAAGAAATGTAGATCTTGGTCTTAGCTTCGAAACGGTATAGAGTTCATCCAAATCCGAGTTCCGTAGCTTCAGTTATGACCGAAACAAGATCGGTTGTCAGAACTGTCTTCGAATTTGGACAGTTCTGACAGGAATGTTTGGACCCATTTTCCTCCATGCTCCGTATTGATTCAGCTTTTGGTCCAAACATGAAAGTTATAGCCTTATGAATGAGCTTTCTAACGCCCCTGGAATTTCTTGATTTTGATTTCTGAGCCGTGAGTTACGGTCTTTCAAACAGGGACTGTTTGATAAACCGACATGAGATGGCTGGAACTATTTCGTGCATTTTTTACCAATACCTATTGAGATCTGGGTTGAGATGTTTAAATAAAAGTTGTAGCCCTTCCTTGTAGTTTCGAAACGGTATCTCATCAACCTTGATCCGATATTCCTAGCCTAACTTTTGATCAAAACGGTTTGAGATGGCAGATTTGGCCGTTTCCGTTTGCCGTTCCCCGTGCGGCGTGTGTCCATTTTGCCGTTTCCGCACTTGCATGTGCCAATTTTGCCGTTTTACTTAAGTTATACATGTTAGTGGCTGTTTGTGATATATTGTGATGCAATCTTCTATTTCAGACGATGATGGCCTATGCGGAGCCGGTGGGGCCTACTACTAGCTACTCTACGTGACATAAATTGAACACCTTTTGATATCTTTGTTTTGAAGTAAGTATTCGGGCCGTTTTGTATGTAACTTGCTTATGTGTTCAAAGTGATGGATAGGGTACCTAGGCGAGAGTGTACTTCATCGCACTCGACCTAAACCCTAATTTACATGCATATTTGTACATGACATGTCTACATGAATTATTTTGGGTTTGAGCCCCTTGAGCTTGTGGCTCGGGGTGACGTTTGTGAGTTGGGGTTAATCTTCTGACCTAGATGGACTATTCGAGTCGATCAGGGCTTGGTCGAAACCAGTCCAACCTAGTCTGAGGTTACCAAGTTTGTGAATCCGGTTCATCGAGAATGTGAACCAAGTTTGTAGGTTCAAGTTGTGAACCAAGTTTGTGAACCGAGCTTATGAACCAAGCTCAATTTCGTTCGCTCGAGCAAGTTTGTGAGGTGACTGGCCAGTGAGGGTGATAAGGTGTTTGGTGGGTGTACAAGTGGCGTTCTACGGACCTTATTTGTGGTCGACGGAGTGTCGGCAGGAGGTCACACATGGCAAACGACTTGGCTTTGGAGCCAACCTGTATTCTTCATTTGTATTGTTATTTTTGCACTTGACTTGACATTTTGTGAAATAGTTGTTTATTAAAATGTGAAATTTACGCTTTTACCCCGTTTACTTACTAAGCATATAACTTACCCCGTTTCCTTTATTTTCCTTAGCAGGGGACGACGCGGGGAACTCCTTGGCACATTCACTAGTATAGTTAGGTGTGCTTGTAATAGTTGAATAGTTAAGATGTTTATCCTTATTTTAGTGATCTGTATAAGGACCCTTCTTCGGGTTATTTTCTGATTTTGGTCATATCATAAGGTGAGGTAATAGTTGGATAACTTCTTTTGAAGATGTATATCGTACTCTTTTGGTTTATCTAGTTTTTATTGCTTTAAGTTTTGAGTCCTGACGCGAGTTGGGCAGGCGACCCGCTGAACCCTGGGGTACGCCCTTGAGGGAAGTGGGGCCGTCACGGATATCCTGGATTCAAAACTTCAACCAATTCTATGACGGAGTACTACTCTGCCTTTTGCGATCCCAATTGCAACTTTTTCCTTAAGCCTGTTTTGAGCAGAACAGAGAAGATCATAGAGGTTTCATTTTGGCATGAATTTGTAGATCAAAAGCATGTTGTTAATTCCCAAATTGGGCTGTCTTATTCTTCCAAGAATCATGAGTTCAAATATAAATTGCTAATCAATTCTGTCAAAATGATGGAATTTCAACCTCAAATAAAAAAAAATGAAAAAAGATACTTTTGGAGTAGTATCTTCGTACACTGTTCCTATTTTCCAAGTTCCAATCCAGCAAATTCGCATATGTTTGAAAAGAAATAACACACAACCATCACTAACTTCAGCAAAACGAAATTACGCAAAATGCGCCAACAGCAAATTATCTGAACAGCATCCTCCACAAGAAAAGAGCCTCCGATCCTTTCAACTTTTACCTCCATCTTCCACAAAAGCGTCAAAGAAAGCCACAGACCCCACGGATGAAAAATTATAATCTCTCGAGGAAAAAATACTGTAGCATTCCCTCCCTGGTGATATCATCAGCAAAAGTTAGAGCAATAACTAGTTGTTCATTCATCTATCATTTAAAAAATGAAAAAAAAGAGTAACAATTAGTTGTTTTGTTCATCAATTTCAATGCTCTCGTGCATGCATTACAGGCAAATAAAGTACAAAAAAGCTACCAAAAGGTATATATAGATTAAACTTTTTTAAAAGAAAAAACATTTATGCTGCCGTGCAGATTGACAAAATTGTGCAATGAACAGAATGTAAATATAAATTAAACTCCCTTAAATGAAAAAAGCATGATTATTTCTACAAGCCAATTAATGGTAACGACAAAAACAATTACTTGATATTGCACCAGCTGATGCCCTTATATATTTTTCATAAATGATCTTCAGATTCTCATTTCCATTGTATTTCTGTTCTTCTTCAATTTCCCGTACTAAAGATTCGACACCATCTCCGCAACGCTCCACCTGAATTGTTTCAAGAGTGGATAAAAGCCTTAAACAATCAGGCATCATTTCCAAATTAGGAATTCCTTGGAGTTTTAATTGCTGAGGGCACGGGAAGTAATCATCACTGTCAGGGTCTGCCTCTGTCCACTCCACGATGTCTAACATGGACAACGTCAAGACCCTGAGTTTAGGGAATCCTCCTTCCATCAGCTCCCATCTTTGGCCGTCCATTGCGTGCTTTCTTAATTTGAGGACTTCAAGGTTGGGTAGTTGTTCGATCAATGACATTTTTCTACAAGAAAGACCCAGATTGGAAAGACACAACTTCTTCAAATTCTTGGGAAAAGAAAGCTCAATATGTTCCCGCGAACCTGAGAAGCAATTGCCCCCTAAGGTGAGTGACTCTAGGCATTCTAGTCGACTCATGTTGCAGCATAATCTGTTTTGTTTCCCACAATCGAAAATTTTACATCGGCGAACGTTGGGAATCCTTCTCAATATATTCTCTCCCTCTTTATCAAGATGAAGATACAGAGTAGAGAGTGTGTCTAAATTGGGTAAAGTGTAGAGGTTTTCAACAACGTTGTCGTTGGAAGACAGACGAATAACGCCGCCACTCCTTACAAGTACATGCCTCAACTTCTCCATGTTCCAGATGCTATCTGGCAATGAAACTGTCGCATCAGAATTTAGACAAAAGGTTTCCAAATGTGAGAGCTTGGCCACAGATGGTGGAATGAATTTCATGTTTCTAGCAGCAAGGGCTAAGTACCCCAAACAAAGAAGTGATTCGACTTCAGTTGGAAGCTCCTTCAGCCTTAGGTTAATGCCCTCCAAATTCAAAACTTTAAGTTGTTTGTAGATGCAAAAAAGGAAGGAGATGTTACGCAACTCAAACTTATTATATCCTGGAGTAGCATCAAAGAGTAGCAGAGTATCTAAATGTGGACAAAATAGCTTTGACTTCCAAAAATCTTCTCCACTGGAGCAGATGGACAACCGAGGTGGGTTGGGAGGCTCATTAAAGGTAGAAAGCTCATCATATCCTCGCAGTACCTGAAGAAATTTCTTTTCTTTCGCCTCACCATTACAGAATTCAAATACCAAATCATGAATGTAACAAGTTTTGACTCTACCAATGGATCCGTTTTCACTTACCATAACTAAGTTTCGATGAATTAGGTCCATCAGATATTCTTCTGCAATATCCTCTGATCTCTTTCCTTCAATTTTTTCCACAAACCCTTCTGCAATCCAGAGACGCATCAAATTCTTGGCACCAATATTTTTGTCTTCTCGAAATGCAGCAAAATACAGCAAGCATGCCTTCAAGTGACATGGTAAATGCTCATAACTGAGCTCCAATGACTTCTTCCACTGGTCTGTACCAGACACCATGGTCGAAGTTAAACTTTCAGCAAATTCTTGCCAAACCGAAATATCATGCTCTATAGTTGCTAGGACTCCAGCTACAACAACAAGTGCAAGTGGCAATCCCCTGCACTTCTTGGCAATCTTCATAGCGATTCCGCACAATGCTCGAGGACAATTTTCTTTTCCAAATACCTTCTTCTGCAGTAATTCAAAACTTTAGTTCTCACTGAGCGGGCGAAGATAGTGAGGTTTCCCCCCATATTCAACCTGTGAAGCCACATTAGAAGATCGACTCGTGAAGATGATTCTACTTCCTTTCTTGTCATCCGGGAATGAAATTCTCAGCTTATTCCATACCTTAATGTCCCAGACATCATCAAAAACAACAAGATACCGATTCCCCTTCAGCTTTTGGTAGAGCTTTTGAAGCAACGAATGTTCATCCAGATTTTGAAACTCATCATCCATCCTGGAATGTTGGCCTTCAGTGCACAAAATTTGAAGTAACACATTTTTCATGTTAAATTCTTGAAAAACAGTGCACCAAAGACGAATGTGGAAGTTACAGATTACTGAACTATCATTGTAAACTTTTTTGGCTAAAGTCGTCTTACCAAGCCCAGCCATTCCCACAATGGGAACAATTTCCACCTGTTCTGGTCCCCATATAAGTCGTTCAATTACTTTTGCTGCCTCATCATCAAGACCAAATGGGCTATTGGCATATTACCTTTTGATAGCATGTGGCTAGAAGTCTTGCTAACTTCTGGTGCTCTTAAGCTGTGAAAGGAAGGGAGACATTCAATAATGCTTGAGCCACTGATCTGATCCTTAAAATGCTTGATATGGATGTTGGTATTAGCCAGCATATCATAACAGTCAAGGGCCTCTGTGGATTCTGAGAAGTTAACTTCTCCTTCCTTCACTCTGTTTAGAGAAGGCGAGCAAATTATAATGCCTGCCTCACAAAGAAGAGCACCAATTTTTTCATTTTGTTCATCCATCTTCTCCTGCTGCTCCCTTAAAATGCTTCTCAAGAACCTCAGTCCTGCATAGAGTATTCCCATTTCATCTTTCATAGAATCCATAAAGCTAGAGCTGCAGCATAACAGCTCCCAGAGACAACTAATCAGAGAATCATTGAAGTTGTTCAATATCTGCTTATCCATCATTCTATTATGCAATGATTTTGAGGATCTTGCAGCTCTAAGAACTTCCATGTAAATCTCATAGACTTGAAAATCAATAGGTGTGATTTTCTGTTGTTGCACATATATCATGGAGCAGAACTCAGGATTGTGCAGTTCCTCATCTTCCCAAAAGGAACACCTGTAAGACAGGCGTGCTGCGTTCAAAGCCGCCAGTTCAAAGTGAGCCAACAGCAAGACAGGAATATCTACAGTTCCTCGCAATTTGGCAAAGGGAATGAAGCTTTTCAAGAATGTTAGCTTTGCTTCAAGACCTTGGAATTGAGCACTCAAAGCAACAGAAAACGTCGATTCAATAGCCATATCGCCATTCGTCAAATCTGCTAGATTTTGTAGGATGAGGTCTATAAATTCCATTAGTTCAGCATGTGTCACGCAAGAATTTGATTGCAATGACCTGCTGCTTGCCATAGCAAAGTAAATTTGGATGATTTCTAGCTTAAGTAATTTGATTTCTTGCTCAAGTAATTCGATGTGTTTCCCAATTTGTTGCTTATGTAATTCTTTATGCTTTTTTGATCTAAGGGAAAGAGAGTGAATGTCCTCCTCGTATTTGTGAAAGGTATCTTCAACGCAAGATAAGAAAGATGGAAGACTCACCTTCTTCGCTACATCGTCAGATTGCAAGTACAAATCATTGCTTTGGCTCCACTTTCTTGCATACATAAGAAATGTTTTGAGAAATTTCATGCGTTTGATTGCATCACGAACACGAGGAGCACTGCGAGCAACATACTGGTTTCCGAATCTGTTCAGGAGCAGCAACTCTAGATCAAATAAGACCCAATCGAAGCTGCAAGGGGCGACCATCTCTTATGCAGGGATTTTCGTCTCAAATTTTAAGAGAAGCAAATCTCACTAATTGCAGAGCCAGCAAGTATTTCTTTCCTGAAAATTACTTCTTTGCTTTTGTTCTTCTGAAGAGTATTGAGATAATCAATTATTCAACCAGGTGGAATTGGCATCAAGGTGGACACCAGACAATGATAATACTACAACTTTGTCATTTTAGCAAAAGTTAGTGTGAAAATAAATCGTGGGTCATTAGCAATATTATTTGCTCATGTCTAATTACAAAAGGAAGTTGATAAAATTAGTTGACTCTGTTATCAACATTTTAATGCATGATTACAGAGAAATGCATTCTTGAAACATTTTCTGTTGGGGTCATTTCGATAACAAATGTTGTTTTTGGTTTGTATTACAAATATGAATCTGCATTAGTTTCCCTAGTCATTACAAAATTGACACTTTAGAGACACAGGCGAGTGGTGGGCTCAGTGCTTCTGAACCTTTGACTGGTTGGGGGTCTGCTTTCATAGAATTATTGCGAATTATTGTATTCCATTCCCACACAATGGGGTCCATGTTTTTGCAATTATCTTATCAGGAGGCAGTCAGTGAGCAGGAAAAAATCGACTATCCAGTATCCACAGTTTAATATGTTAAAACTTTATAATTAAGAAGCCTTGTTTTGATAGCAGATGCGGAGTAAGGATTGAGCATTTCAATTCATCCATGTGTAAAATATGAGAATTTTGTCAGTCTGTTTGGATAGTGTTTGGATAGAGTATTATTTGAAATAATTATTATAATATTTTTTATGATATAATGTATATGAAATAAAAAATAATTAAAAATATAAAAAATTAAAAAATATATTTATGATGTAAGCGAAATATTATTAGGTAAAAGTTACTATTCAAACACTGACGTTATCTTATTTAATGTGGGACTCTGAGGAAGATCAAAAAAATAAAGAAACATCAAAATATAAATGATCCACGAGACTTTTATAGAGAGTATGCATATAAATACATATATAGATTTATTTGGTTTTTCTTTTCATATTTTTCTTTTAGCATGAATCTTCAAGCTAGCTCTCCAATTTTCCTCAATTGTTTTCTTTCTTGAGCAAACCACTAAAAATTTGACCAATTTCTCTTCTAATTCCCTTCTATTAATAATCATGGCCATTGATCTGGGAGATTAATAACCGTGACCAATAAAGTAAAGAGTTGAAGGAAAAAATGTTTGAGGGCTTCAACCCTTGAAATTTTGGAAGTAGAGAATTTGAGATTTCTACAATTACAAGAGTCAAATGTATTATAAAATATACCTATTATCATAATAAATATAAACACTAAGATAATAAATATAAAGAGTAAAATGATAAAGTTCAAAATTAATGTTACGGAGTGCATTAATGTTACCAATATACAATGGTCAAAGAAAATGATTGGATTAAAGAAGAAAAAAATTCTACTAATTAGTAGCAGCATTTTTTTTCAAGAGTCAGGACTTAAATGCGCGCTAATTATTTATGCTAATTTATCTACTTGTATTATATACATATTTTTTTATTACCTTTTCATCTCATATATATTATATCAAAAAAGTGATACAGTGTCGTAGACACAAGTATATGCCCATTTCAGTCTTACTTAGGCCATTGGAAATTAATTGAAAGTCTTCTCATTAGTCTTTCTTCAACATAGAGTGTGTCAATTTGGAAAATGAGAGAGAAGGAGACCGGCTGTTCTTTGGGTCAAGCACGGCTAGAGAACCCTCCCTTTCCTTGCTTTTTAACACAGGGTTCATGGGTAAGGCATACCCATATTTTTAAATGTTTGATATCAATTCTTGTTATTCACATAGAAAACTTTCACGAGTTGATTGAGAATTAGGTCTTGTTTGATGATTTAATTTAACACTTAAATTTAATTAATTCAGATCTTAATATGTTCAAATACGTTTGATAACAAAAATTAACATTTGAATTAATTAAATAGTAATGAATTTTCTTGACAAAATTTACTCTAAAAAAATAAATGATAACCTATTCACTTATCATTAACACTTAATATTATATATATTCAAATATGTCAAATTTAATATTTAATAATTAAATAATTTAATAAATTCAGATTCAAAGTTTAATTTTATCAAACGCATTTTAGTGACAATAGTCTCAAGAGTCAGGACCGAAATGCTTGCTAATACAAGCATATATTGTTACAGCTATTTAGAAATCAATTCAACTCTTACATTAGTCTTTCTTCCACGTTGGGGAGGTCCATGTGCAGAATTAGATAGATTGATGGAAACCGGATACTGTTCTGGTCAAGAATGGCTACTGGACGGTCCTTTTCTTTTTCTTTAATTCAAGCTTTAGCCATTAAGGTATAGTTATTAAACTCAATCCGGAGAGGAACTCGATGAAAGAGGTGGGTCAACGGGTTACTGGTTCAACCGGTGGGTGAGTGATCTAATCGGTGGGTCACTACATATATTTAAATATTATGTTTTATAATTTTTTATATGGTTGAAACTATAATAAACTATGTTATAGTAAATACTCAATTAGTCCAATTTATTATAGAATCATTAATTCTTATAAGAATTAACAAAACCTAAATTTAATTAGTAATCCACCAAACTTCAAGTATAAAATTTTATCGAAGTGTAATTATCTAATTTATTTATGAATTTTAAGTGCAAAAGGTTATTAAGAATAATATTTGTCTTTAAAATGAATTGTGTAATATGTTATTTTTTAAATCCATTTCATAATTTATAGAATTTAGGGAATAATAAAATTTTATTAAAAGATTCCAAACAAAATAAGAATAAAACTCTAATATATAATATAGAAGGGGCAAACAAGCACCAAATGAGCTGATGGACTAATGGTAATTGCACTTAGTCCTTATATTTGACATCCGAGGTTCGAATTAGCACCGCAACATTTGCTAAACATTTTTCCCCAAAATCGGGTTCTTTAGAAAATCGTCCGGTTCAAACCGTCGGTCCGTTGAAAAGTCAACGATTCTCTTGCACAAACGATCCAATTACAAAATCAGCCTGATTTCATGGGCGGTTCACCGGGTTGACCGGTTGAACTGCCGTGTTGGGCCGGATTTAATAACTATGCATTAAGGGACAATGTTTTAGATGGGAGAAGATTTCATTCACAATGCGTAGTCACAAGTTTTTGGGACCCGAACAATTTTGGGCTAAGAAAATACTGTTAAACCTCATGATAGGTAGGCATACTTTTTATAGTAGTACTGATCGTCTATTTTAAATTCCTTCAAGAAAAATATTATAATTAATATCTACTTACGTATGAGCTTGATTTGATTCGATCTATGCACGTGGAGGTCATCTCAATCTCTTATAATGCAAGGAACTCCCTCAATTTCACTCTCAAATTTTAGTGTAGCATAAGGAGAAATATTAACAAATCTCGCTTTCTCCGGAGCTAGCAAGTATTTCTTTTGTGGAATATTCAATTATTCAA